ACCACAATCACCAATACTTTACAGACTACAGTAACTGCACAAGCTGCATACCAATGCAAGGATTAGCACTAAGTCAGATAATATTATCTAACGCTACATAAGTGTGTGTGCCACCATTATTCAAATAAGTGTTTTTCTTCTAAAGAAAAATAATCTCCAAACATTTTGCTACTAAATATCACCATAGCTGTACACTGTACACTGGTTTACATTTTTGTGTTTACAATTGTACATTAATTGGATCAATGATCGGAATCAGAGGTCTTTGCTACTGTATGTAGTTTTCTCTGCAGATTAACAACAAACTCACTGTTTAACTACACTTCATGAGTTTATTAATCAAAATTCACATTATTTGCAAGCACAAGAAAGACACCGGTCCAGTAAATTATTTTCTTGTGAAGTTTTGCACTGATCTTGGCGGTTTCCGTAAGTCTCATTTTTTTCTGACAAGACTCAAATTTAAAAATTTGCAAAGTTATGTTTATCTTTATAGGGAAAAAAACAGCTAGGAACTAAATTATGGTAACTGTCTTATTGGACATATGCTAAGGTTCCATCTTTAACCTTAAAAATTGGAACCACATTGAGTAACTTACAGCAAATTAATTCTGAGAAGAATGCAGGATGTCCAGTTTTTCAATTTCCAGCTCTTGCAAATTGGGGTGTGCTTCATTACAGGCTAAGAAAAATTAATTTAAATTAGTTGGTAGACCTCTTCCTGGCCAAATACTTCCCGGCCCTAAGGATAGCTTGCTAAATGATCTTTTACCACAATCGCTGCTAATCTCGGAATCTGATTGGCTAATTTGCTATTGTCGATAAGAGTTCAGACAACGCTGCTCGTGTCAATGTGTCGCGCAATGCCTTTTTCAGCTCGCATTCTAGAAAAAGCATTTTCTTTGACGTTGATATTCAGTGGTAAAAAAAAATCGAAATGTGATTTAGCGTGGTCTGTACTCTTATCAACAACGATACACGTCATCACAGTGGTCAAAAGTTGTTTTGGACTCACTCGGCTGTGCCTCTTGAGTCCACAACATTTTGACCACTGTGACGACGCGTATCATTGTCGATAAGAGTACAGACCATGCTAAACCACATTCGATTTGTTAAACTTCTTATCTTAATGTACAATGTACTTCTTTCATAGAAGAACAAAAAATATTTCACTACTTAACTCTTTTCGAGCAACAATCAACATCACGCTGCCACTCAACCTTNGGGAGTCGGTAATTAAGAACTAATTTCCTTTTTGATCCATCTTTACCATTATAAAGTGCTTGGCAGCTTGATGGTGGTTGTTTAATTCCCAAACAAGGGAAAAGTTTTAATTATAAATTGAACAATCTCAATGCACACTTAGTAAAGTGGATCTGTAAGCTCATTAGCACAAACTTAAACTATATCTAGCCAAAAAATATTCACTTATCTCAAGCAAAACAAAATTTCCAATTGTAAGCAAGATTGGTTCACACCATCTTTTTTACCTTTTTGACTACATCATTGATTACTTTCAAGACTTACCAAAATTTTCATTTACGCAAATTTTCTTTGCCTTAAGCCAGAAAATATGACACCACCTGCTTGTAGGAAAGTTTTCGAGAGTCAATCTTACTGAAGACAAAATGTTATCAGAATGTAGAATTAAGCAAAATTTAATTTGAAGTTCTCCATTTCGGATTTATTTTAGAATTGGGCTATTTTCCGTTTCCAAAGTGTTTCGTCTTCAGTCTCTCAATTTTTGTTGCATTTTTTCTGACTAACAATGATATTTAATATTAATGTTAAACACATTTAGATCAACAGTCTGCATTTTACCTTATTTCTAAGTTCTTATGTTTTTTTTTNCCTGCTTGTAGGAAAGTTTTCGAGAGTCAATCTTACTGAAGACAAAATGTTATCAGAATTTAGAATTAAGCAAAATTTAATTTGAAGGTCTTCATTTCCGATTTATTTAAGAATTGGGCTATTTTTAGTTTCCAAAGTGTTTTCTTTTCATCTTCAATCTCTCAATTTTTTGTTGCATTTTTCCTGACTAACAATGATAATTAATATTAATGTTAAACCCATTTAGATCAACAGTTTGCATTTTACCTTATTTCTGCGTTTGTATGTTTTGTTATGTTTATCTAGAAACAAATCTTGATTCCCTCACATAAGTGTAAACAAACATTTTACATCCTCGTCGAGAACTACACAATGCAGACTGTTGATGAAAACCAATGTATATTAACTTGCTTAATGTTTCTTGGTTCTTTCTTGGTGTTGCAATGAAGGTTCTCTTGGGCTTTCTTTAACGGTTTTTCAGCGATTTTTCTGTTGCTCTAAAAAATTCTCAGAATTTATCAGGACTGTAATATTATTTCTGGGCCTTCTCGGTTGCTCCAAAAAATTCTCCTGATTTTTAGGACAATAATTATTCTCAGTACCCCGAGTGCAGCCTGCTCATGTTCGTGGTTAAGGTTTCTGGTATTTTTTCTGGACTTCCATCACCAAGAAAGAACCATGTTTTT